GAGAAAAGCGCGTCCAAAGCTAGACTACGCAACACTCCGCACCGTCATTATGGGGGTGGGGTATTATTACAGTATTTATGGTAAGTATACTTGGTGCTTGATCTTTTTCCGAAAGCGGATTCGAATTTAATGTGAAATAGATGAGATCATCGATATGCCGGATAAATTCACATCACTGTTTTCTCTTTTCTGAAAAGATTTTAGTTGAAAAACCTCGTTAAAATTGAAACTAACAATTTGCAAGAATTATTGTCCTTAATCTCAAGTTCCAGAAGCACATTTGATGCTAGTTTTTTTCAGTTCTTCTTGAAAATCTGGGTTTTTCCATTGTGAAAAGCAATCATATGCAAACACCCAAAGCCAATTCTATTCTCTTGCGACTTTTCTTAAGACAAAGGGTTAAAATAAACTCTACCAATAGGTTCTACGATCACGAAAATCCCGGGGCACAAATTTTGAACACTAAATCTCATTCGGGAATCATTTACAGAAGAAAAGTGTGTAAAGTTACGAGGTGTTCTTTGGAGAAAAATTCTGGATTCAGAAATTCTGGCATGAGTCTGATTTGAAATAAATCTAAGCCCAAATCGTGAAAACTTAAAGATCAAATTGATAATTAAATACTTTTTTGATCACTTCAATCAGAATGGTAATTTGATAAATAATCTTTTCTTTGAGTGATTTCTCTTTTTTCCTTTTCTTCCTTTCTTCCTTCTCTTCCTTTCTTTCTTCCTTTCTTCCTAATTCCTCTTTGATAAGCTCGGATTTCTGAATCCAATCAATCAAATGTTTTCGCAAATTATTTGTACTCAAATATTTTTCCCCATCCCTAATTTAACCATTTTTCTTTTTACAATAAAATTTTCAAATCATAATGCTGATTTCAAAGAATTTGCTGATACATTGTTCCCTAGCTTTGTGGAAGCTGATACATTGTTCCCTAGCTTTGTGGAAGCTGATACATTGTTCCCTAGCTTTGTGGAAGCTGATACATTGTTCCCTAGCTTTGTGGCAGCTGATACATTGTTCCTTAGCTTTGTGGCAGCTGATACATTGTTCCCTAGCTTTGTGGAAGCTGATACATTGTTCCCTAGCTTTGTGGAAGCTGATACATTGTTCCCTAGCTTTGTGGAAGCTGATCCATTGTTCCTTAGCTTTGTAGAAGCTGATATATTGTTCCCTAGCTCCCTAGTATCCGGATGAAAATTAAAATTTAAAAATTTAAAGATTAAAAATGAAAATTGAATTTGAAAAAAAATCCCATAAAAATGAGTCTAGATTTTTAAATTTAATCGTCATGCATCTTTGCATCACGATTAAATTAAAGTCCATGATTTAAATTGACATACATTAAAGCCCATGATTCCCATTTTATATGCAAAAACTTGAAACTTAGTTTTTTTTCAATTTTTCGACTAGACGAAAACTTGTAATTTTTGATAGCTTTGGTTTAAAGCATACAAAATTCACACTTTTTGCAAAAGTTTGGACAAGATTTTGACCTACTCTTGATGTTTGGCTTAGTCTAAAAAAAATTTAGGTGATTCAGCTTTGGTTAATTTATCCAGAACTGAACCGAACCGAAATGTAATTGAAAATTGAAAAAACTAGGTTTCAAGTTTGCAAAGATAAAATGGAAATCACGGTCTTTAGTTTTTTGTTGTTGATAAGCGAATTAGAAGATGTTTTTAAAGTGATGTTTAAGGTATAAAGTTTTCTGGAACTATATTAAAAGCGCGCCGCCAAAAGAGCGCCGTAATCAAAGGGGCGCCGCTCAAAAGCGCGCCAATGCGCCAATGCAAAAACGCTTAAAAGAGCGCGACTAGATTTTTGTGCCGCAATTTTTTTTCGTTTTTCTTGATGTTTATTTACAATTTTTTTTTTGGTAAAAGAACGACGGGGAATTCCAATTCGACGTTGGTTTTTGGCAGAAAACAACCAGCAAGTCACAGTAAGGCGCATTTTATTAAAAGAAATATTTTTTGTTCTTAGTTTTCATTTATTGTCGAAGTTTTGAATGTTAGGTAAAGAAACTAATCTACAATCGCCTACAATGTTTGCTCTTCTCATCGGACAAGGAAGTTGGCTATCTAGAAATGGCGCCTCAGGAAGATCGCATATTGAACATCTTAAATCTCTGTCATTTTTACATCGATTTTAAATGTTGTTGTCATTTTTTTGTTATTCTATTGAATTTCTAAAAGAGCTCATTATAAATATTTGGAATTAATGCAAGAGTTTTAAAGAAGATATTTATGCTTTATTCAGTTGAATAGCGACAAAACAAAATGACAATAATTACCCGGAACACCACTCAAAACACACCCAAAATAAAAAATAGATACCTCAAGAAAGAATCACAGAGCAGTCAAATCAATTGCCGAAATTGCGGCTTTAAGTCTAGCCAAGGTGGGAATATCACGAACATGAGGGAGTAAAATGTTCCAGAATTTAATAACTCGTTTAAAAAGAAACTGTGGGGCTTTTAGAGGAAACGGAAGGTTGGCGTATGAGAAAAGATTCCCTCCTGGAGCCGTAGAGAGTAGATCTTAGAGCCCGTAGAGAGTAGGTCTTAGAGCCCGTAGAGAGTAGGTCTTAGAGCCCGTAGAGAGTAGGTCTTAGAGCCCGTAGAGAGTAGATCTTAGAGCCCGTAGAGAGCCGAATTCAAAGAGACCAGTAAAAAGGGGGTCGGGATGAATGCCTTTAACAATTTTAAAGCATTCCACTAAATCGATGAAAAGGCGGCGTTGGTGTAACATTTCAAGACCAAAGAGTTGCAATTTATCAGAATAACTAAAGGAGGAGAATTTGTCAAAATTAATTTTATAAAGAGCAATTCTGGTGAAGTGTCTCTGAACACGTTCTTTTTTTTTGAATAAGATTTAATAGGGAAGAAGACCACATCAAAGAAGCGTATTCAAGAATAGGGCGGACATAAGCAACAAAACACATCCGATAAGTTTTGAATGTTAGGTAATGAAGTTTTGAATGTTAGGTAAAGAAACTAATCTACAATCTCATCGGACAAGGAAGTTGGCTATCTAGAAATGGCGCCTCAGGAAGATCGCATATTGAACATCTTAAATCTCTGTCATTTTTACATCGATTTTAAATGTTGTTATCATTTTTGCTAGTCTTTTAAATTGTTCAAAGAATTCATTATAAATATTTGGAATCAATACTTGAGCTTTAAAGAAAAAACAAGGTTTTATAGCTATTTTAATATTGTCCCAGTTTTCTCATTATTTATAATGTTTCAAAATAAACCCAGTCAAAACAGTGCTTTCATTGCTTCGCTGTAATTGTTCTTTCAGTAAACTTTGTTTAAAGAGGTTCTTAGTTCTCTTTTTTATTTGAAACTTGTTCTCTATCATCTTTATCATCTCTAAAATCAGCGTCTTTCTTCAAATGATTTGCATACCGTATTCTCGCTAATAGTAGTGCACTCTTTAATAGTAGTGCACTCTCTAATAGTATTGCGGTCCAGGAGGGGGTTGAAAAAATAGTAGTGCACCCTCGAAAATTTGAATTTCTGGTGCTTCTTTTTCATCTAAACCTTTTTGACTTTTGTTTATGTGACATTCTAAAGCTATTCAAGCAGCAAAAGTGAGGCTTCTTTATTCATTTATTAACTTTTCTTCACATGAAAAAGTTAGCAAAAAATCTAAAATTGTTGTGCAAAGTGCAAAAACATCTTTTTGTTGTTTGTCAAGACACAAATTGTCAACTCGCCGGCCCACAACTAATCTAGACTGAATACCCATTCTAGACTAAACACCATAATCCAGCTAATCTAGACTGAATACCCATTCTAGACTAAACACCGTAATCCAGCTAATCTAGACTGAATACCCATTCTAGACTAATTACCGTAATCCTGCCAAGCTAGACTGAATAACTTAATCTACCCTAAATACCGTAATCCAGCTAATCTAGACTGTATGTCAAACTGTATGTCAAAAGGAGCCAAAGGAGTACGTGAAAGAGTTGCAAGAATTTTTGGAACAAAGCTTATATCTCTCTTACTTTGGTAAATGATAAAACTCTTTAATAGTAGTGCACCCTCTAATAGTATTGCGGTCCAGGAGGGGGTTCAAAAAATAGTAGTGCGCACTACTACTATTAGAGAGAATACGGTATTTTATTCACTTTCCAAGGAATTCTCTCGAAAACAATGAAAATCATAAAAAATTGTTCAACTGTTTAATCCTTTTTTTCATAAAGCTCATAAATCAAAAGCTTTCAAATTTCTATTTCTAAAGTAAAAGGTTTTAAATTTTAGATTAAGTTTTAGTTATCTTTTATGTTATCTTTTAATGTTACAAGAATTATAGACTTTAAACAATCAGTTTTTGAATCAGAAACAATCAGAAACATGAACTTTTTTGTACTCTTGATCAAAAATTTGCAAACTCAACTTGCAATTAAATTTGATAAGTACAATTTGGGAGTGGGACAAATGCGACCTTTTTTTTGCGCACCTTGCCCATTAGCGCACCTTTTTTCGCGTTTTAAAAAGCTCTAAAAAGCTAATATTAACCAATTTCTATTCCAAATGTTGTTTTTCTAGGTAATTTGAGGGTGTCGAATTCAAATTTTGACATAACAGAGCGGGTGGAATCAATTTGAAAGACAAAACGGCTAGATCAAATTACAGAAAATTGTCGATCTTTCCCTTTGTATAACTCCGTCCATTTGTTTCCACAAGCTCTGATATGTCAAAATTTCGATTCTACGGCCCAAAATTACCTAGAAAGGCAACTTTTGGAATAGAAATTGGTTAATATTAGCTTTTTAGAGCTTTTTAAAACGCGAAAAAAGGTGCGCTAATGGGCAAGGTGCGGAAAAAAAAGGTGCACAAATGTCCGGGTGCGCAAAAAAAAGGTCGCATTTGTCCCACTCCCTACAATTTTGATAAAATAACTTCATTTTCAGATGTAATGCCAAGAATAAAATGGAGAAAATCGACACTTTTTCTTGTTTTCATTTTCACCTTGATAATGCTGACGTTGGTGAATCGACGACTAAGAATCTCAAATGATTCGAATTTGAGAGGTGAACGGGTGAGTCGTTTTATAAATTATGCAACAAGAATTTCAATACTTAAACAAAAAGAAAATGGAGTTTTGAGTTTTTTCGAAAATACCACTGATTCGTGAAAATTCACGAGTTTCAAAGCTATGCAAATGTAATCGGGTTTTTATTCCATAGTTTTTTTTCCAAAAACATTTTTTTGATTTAAAATAGACTTTGGAAATACAGTCTTTTCACAGAAAAATTTAGCCAAATTGAAAAGAAAATTGAGCACACATTTTAAAGAGATTTTTCAAGAAGCTCGTGAAATGCCATCGAATTCTCTATGATCTCAATGTGACGAGTGGATTTTATGTTATTGGTGATCGCATATCATAAAATAAACGTCATTTTCAAAAGCTAGATATCGATTTCCTCACCGAATTGCACACAAATTGCGCGACTCAACCGAAATCCCCATTGATAATGATGTTGGATAAAAATTTAGGGCACACACTCGATAAAGGTTTGCTCGGAAGGGAAAACTTCTTTCAAAATAAAGCATTTTAGGTGATAAGTCTAAAGGTGAAATTTAAGCCATGGTTTGCAATTATTTTTCAAATTTAAATTAAGGCAGGGATTGCGGTATGGATTAGCAATGGGCACTATAAACTATAAAAATCACGAACTCTGTCACACTACAAACGCTTCTAACTTGCTTAACTTGCTTTAAATCTGCCGGATTAACATTTTCTATAGCTCAAAAGATAGAGAATTTCAAGAGCTTTTGAATGAACAGAGCACACCGAAAAATATGAATGCTAAAGAAAACTACAGTGGTTTGTAGCCTGACTCGATCGCTTCGACTACGCGCGAGTACGGTCCGTTTCGAGACGAGACGGGACTATAAATCACTGTAACTTTCTTGAGCATTCAGATTTTTCGGTGTGCTCTGTTCATTCAAAAGCTCTTGAAACTCTCTATCTTTTAAGCTATAGAAAATGTCAATTCGGCAGATTTAAAGCAAGTTAAGCAAGTTGGAAGCGTTTGTAGTGTGACAGAGTTCGTGATTTTTATAGTTTATAGTGCCCATTGCTAATCCATACCGTAATCCCTGCCTGAAGCGTTTGTAGTTTACGTTTGTAATTTGTAGCACCCATGCCTAGTATAGAACTCCAAATAAAATTCAATTCTTAAAAGCTTATGATCAGAGCAAAAGTCATTCGAAAATCCTTTTCTTGGTCTCAAATTTCTACTTAAAACTTTCAGAGCTTTTCAATCGTTTCCAAATTCTTCCCTATGAGAATTCATCGAAGAAAGACTACGTTCAAGTACAAGATGGAAACGTTTTTCGATTATTACCTAAGTCAGTTATTTACACAAAATTGACTAAGTCTTTAATTCTAAAGGATGCATTGATAATTAGCTTTCAATAATTAACTTTCATTTTCTAACTAATTACCTCTAACATGACTAGAGTTTAATTGAACCACTACTGTAACTTAAAACTTAACTAAAGCTAAACTTAACCAAAACTAAACCTAACTAAAACTAAACTTAACTAAAGCTAAACTTAACCAAAGTTAAACAACTAAAACTAAACTTAACTAAAACAACTTTAAAAAAAATGATCTTTCAAAAAGAAGATAGACGCAACACTACATGGGAAAGCGTATTGTAGATATTACGTGTGTTTGAACTCGATTAAATCATTCCTTCTAAAGGTCACTTTAACAATTTTGAAACTTTTCTTTTCTGACTTAACTTTCTGGTTAAATTTTTGACATAAAGTAACCAAAAAGTACCCACAGACAGAGTCAGTTCTTTTTCAGAAGCATTTCCTATCTCCAAATCGGCGCTATTCACATCCCCGCAAATATCCCTCAATTTTTGCAATTCTGGAAACGATCTCGAAGGGTTGATTGTAAAAATGGTGAGTTGAAAAATAAAGCAATGAAAGATTAAGTTACGAATGATTCGTACGAATGAGCTTCCAGGAAAGAAACAAATTTGAAATTAAGAATCAAGAAAATGCAAAAAGAATTCATCAAAATATTAGGTTGTCCAGTTATGAATGCGCGTTTTTACTATTTTGTAAATTTCTCAAGATATCGAACAGATGTATATGAGTGTTAAATATCATTCGAAAGCTGAAGATCTCCTCTACATTTTGGCATAAAAAAGTTTTTGAATTCATTCAACTTTTTGGGAAATTGACTGCACAAAGGGAGTGGTCGTTTTCGAAAAAACCCATTCCAGCTTAGCTATTCCTCAGGTTTTATGGTGTAAAATAACCGCCCAGAAAAGAAAAGAAAAGTAAAGATGCTCTGAAATTCTTATATTTTTAAAAAGTTGTATTGATATATCTATTGGTCAAACATCAAACGGTTAACTCACTTTGAGCGGAGCCAAAACTTGATCCAAAGGCACCCTTCCATTTTTTGGCCACCTCTTCTTCTGTGCAGTCAATTTGCCCAAAAGCTGAACAAATTCAAAAACCTTTTTATATCAAAATGTAGAGGAGATCTTCAGCTTTCGAATAATACTCATATATATCTTTTTGCTTGATTTCGGTATCTTGAGAAATTCACAAAATAGTAAAAAACGCGCATTCATAACTGGACAACCCAATATATGTCGTAGCCGTTTACGAAATTCAGCCGCTAACGAATGATTCGTTAACGGCTAGCCGATTACGAATGAAATTATTTTTTCGCTAGCCGTGTACAATTTGTAATCGGCTTCTGCGAACATGGCTCGATTCAAATGAGTTTTTGATTTCAAACTATTTATGCAAAACGCAAATCAGCAAACTAATCACAACAAGTGAAATAAAATTTATAACATTTAACATGTATAACATATTAATGTTTATAACATAATAACGTTTATAACAAACAAATTCGTTAGCGGCTAGCCGATTATGAATCATTCGTAAACGGCTAGCGAAAAATTTCATTCGTTAACGGATGATTCGTTAGCGGCTGAATTTCGTAAACGGCTACGACAGATATAAACAGCTATATAAGTTTTCAAAAAGTCAAAAGCAGCTAGCTCTACCTCCGCAACTCAAAAGACATATTTGTAGAGAAAAGGAACCAAATTTGTAGCGAAAAGGAACCATAATTCAAGACTGCAATCACTTAAAATAGCTTAAAACAGCTTAAAAGAGCGTTATAACAGCTTAAAACAGCTTCAAAATAGCTTAAAACAGCTTCCTAGGGTTTATTGATCATTTCTAGGTCGACTGGTAGTGTTTTAAAGTTCTAAAACTGTAAGATTTTTTAGATTTATTCGTTTTCTGTGATAAATTTAACAATTTCTTCTCTTTTTCAGCGACAACTTTTAATTTTTACGTAATAAACTTTATTTTAATCTTATCAAAAAGTTGCATACGTAAAGAAGCTAAGCTAGGTTTAACCAAGCTCTTAAACCCAAAAAATTACATCCGAATTTAGTGCAGTTTTGGCGCGAGACGAGGAGGAGCTCGAGAATCGAACGATCCCGCTGAATGGGATCAAAGCGATCGCCTCGGTTCGCGATATTTTCCTCTCTTTCGGCGCATTCCCATTCATTCACGGAGGATCTTTATTGGGTGAGGCAAAAGATTTCCTTCATTTTTAATTATTCTCGAGAACATAGAATGCCTATTATTTATAATTCAAAATTGAATCCAACAAACGAGCAAGAACTCTTTCAAAAGCGAAACATTTGAGTAGAGCTCTTTTGGGAAACTTGAAACCCTGTCTTTTTCTATTGACAACAGAATTGAATGCTAAACAACTTAGATGTTCGATCATTAGTCCCTAACGTCTCATACCATCTATAATTATCCAGATTTATAAAAAGTTATGTTGTAGACGTTTCGGGGAATCTGTTACCGTTTACTGTTTGAATCTTTACAACACCAAATCATTTCCAGGCACTTGCATCCGAGAAAATCCTGGGTTAGCGCTTTAAAACGTGGGAAAACTACCGTACGTACTCCTAATTTACATGTACAAAAGAAAGCGCGCAATTTCATTCTTTCATTCTTTCATTCTTGTTCTTCATTTCGGGGGGTGGGACAAATGCGACCTTTTTTTTTGCTGGAAAAGGCCTTAGGAAAAGTCGTAGAGCTTCAAAAACGTTTTCACAGAAGGGAATCGTATGCGTAGATTCCGAATTTCGACAAATCAGACCTCGCTGACACGTCAAATTTGGGCTAAAAGGCAAAAACTGCGGAAAAGCGTTAAGTTGCGTAGTTTTTGCCTTTTAGTCCAAATTTGACGTGTCAGCGAGGTCTGATTTGTCGAAATTCGGAATCTACGCATACGATTCCCTTCTGTGAAAACGTTTTTGAAGCTCTACGACTTTTCCTTATATGGAAATATTTTCGAAGCTCTACGGCCTTGCCTAAGGCCTTTTCCAGCAAAAAAGGTGCGCAAATGTCCAGGTGCGCAAAAAAAGGTCGCATTTGTCCCCCCCCCCCCCTCATTTCATTCTTTTTGCGTATTTCTGATGTGGGTTTTCTTCGTATTCTTTATGAGTGATGATGACACAACTTTTTAGAAGATGTTTGCAGAAGAAATTTTATTCATTCAAGATGGAGAACTTTTTTTTGCAAATGGCACATTATTCACAGATGGGAGCGCAATTTTAATCGTCTTACAATAGTTCCACAAACTAGCATTTATATCTTCATTTTTTTCTCTAATGCTTTGAACTTTAATTGACTCGACACTGCAAGATGGTTTTATGAAACAAAAGAAAATGCAAGTTGGCGAATTCCTTGCAGAGAATGAAACATCTTTACATACCTAGAGGTTGCTGATTCAGTTCAGTTAAAAAATCATGGTTGTTCCTGGAATAGTTAGTGGAAAACGCAATCAGAATGGGCAGTATGCGGACGCTCAAGTGCAGAAATACGCAAAAAGACTGAAATAATTCCGAGCTTTCTTTTATACCTGCATGAGGGGTACGGTAGTTTTAGCACGCTTTAAAGCACCAACTCAGAAAGGACGCAAGTTTCTAGGCTGGTACCGTGAATGCTCGCTTATTCCCCATACATATGATGCGGATTTCGGGGTGCGAATCGATGAGATGAGTCCCTCGATTCAATATTATTTGAGGACACTTCCCAAAGCGGCCGATTTTGCCTTGTACAGAGCGTTGGGAATGGTGGGTTTGAAAGTTACAGTCATCTAGGCACAATAAGTCTCATTAATTCATTCACAACCTGTCTTTCAAAAAGCCTGAAGACATTTAAGATTTTCCTAAAACTTTTTTTTTAGATCGAATCGTACAAATTTTAATTTAGCTAATTTTAGCTATCAGACGGCTACGAGTTAACGATTTATTCCTGGGATTTCTTTTTCTCAATCGATATTTTCGGCATTTACGATGAAGGGGACAAATCGTGGTGTGGAGGCACATCGGAGACGCTGCAAAAGTTTCGATATTACTATCCAAAGTTAGGAAAAGCATTCAGCATAATCTATTCCAAATTCAGAATCGACGACTTTTGCTCGGCCGATCTTCTCGATCATCATTTCTTTATTCCATGCAATGTGGAAGGGGTGCTAGAGGTGAGAAAAGGAGATAAAAACTGGATCGGAGAATTGACAAAGCTAGAATTAATCAAATCTCAGGCCGAATACGGTAAAGAATGGGCAAAAGATTTCCACACAAAAGCTTACGGTTGGAGTTCTTCGGCGAAAAATGTGAAACACGTCGGGCAATGGCCTGCAGAACTCAAAAAAGATGTTTATCAGATATTTTTAGAATAAACTGATCGATTCTTTAAAAATTTGGAACTCGTTACAGTGAAATGCACTTGTTTTTCAACAATTATAAAATAAAAAACCATTTTAAACAATATAGGGACACCCCAAAAACTATATTTATTTCCCAGAAAATTGTATGAAATCCAAATCACATTGTTTTTCTCATTTTTTCGCCTATCGCTTTCTTCTCCATCAAAAGATCAATTGTTCGTCCTTTTCCACACGGAGAATCATCTCATTGCTTCTTGGTGGGGGTTTTGCCTAAAAAAGGAATGTGTATAACTTCTAAAAAACCGCTAGGTTTTACTAGAAGCCATAGTCAAATCTACTTTGCGAAACAGACTAGTTAATAGACATGGGTCTCGAATCGAATCGATTCGACTTTAAAATTCAAATTAATTCGATGCACATGCCTACTAGTTAAGCAAACTGCTTGAAAATAATTACTCTAGAAAGGTATAATATACCAAAATTCCACCTACCAATCGTGGTCGTTGGTGAGCGATCTCTAAACGAGTCATCGAAACTGGAGCGGTCGCCTCAATGTCGGGCACTTCGTCAGCTATAAACAAATATTAGAAAAGTTTGCAAACTTAAGCATTAGCACATTAGTAGCGCAGATACCCTCAAGTCAAAAATTTCACTATGCTAAATCTTCAAAGCATGAATCAGAAAAACAACTCACATCCCACTTCTCCATATGTAACCGGACTGTACGGGTCTTGTCGCTTCCTTGCAGACAATTTTTTCTCAGTTGATCGCTAAAGTGAAAATTGTTTCCAAATCACAAATTTTATCTTCTCACCGTCGATTTTCCATTCGCCTTCAAAAGTTTTTCTCTATCCTAAAAAGTCAACGATTGCATAAAGCATGAAAAAATTTTCTACCTCTTCTTTAGCTCGTCGACTTGACAAGGAGAAAAGAAAGCCTATGAAACAAAGAACGATCACCAAGAAGCACAGCACAACCAACAAAGTCTAAAACATACTATTTGAAGGTTTCCCAGTAACGTTAAATAATCAGCTTCAACGCACCCCAAGTCCCATCACGAATTTCCATCCACCGTCTTTCAGCCAATTGTGCTTCCCCTCAGTGACCTCTTTGGGAAGTGCACTAAAATTGCAAAATGTATGTTTGACTTCAAATAACCTAGTCAATCTTATACTAAACTCAAAAACGCTTACCGAACTTCGGTGTCAAGAGTGACATTGTTGTATTTCGATTTGGGGCGGAGAGGGATGACGTTCGGCTTCTGTTCGACTGAAGGTACAATCAATTATTACATAATCATTCGAACGAGAGATCATAATGTAATGTTTTACGACTATATCTATGACATTCTAGTTCCACAATACGATACGCTAAAATACCTGATGTATCTATTTCCTCGGCCCATACTGCTTCTTTTGGTTCTTTGGTGTTTTTCATTTCAACAGCATCTTCACTAATCACTTCTGATCGGGGAGCCCCTAAAAATCGATCAGTTTTGTTCAAAGCAACACGGAAAACAAGTATATAAATGCTTACCAAAAGTTTCATTGGGGTGTTTCATCTCAACTGCGTCTTTGCTAATCACTTCCGATTGGGGAGATCCTAAAAATGCATTTTTGCCTTCAAATAATCTAGTCAATCTTATATTAAACTCCAAAAACGCTTACCGAACTTCGGTGTCAAGAGTGAGATTATTTATAAAGTCCCGCATAAAAAGACGATTACTTATAAAGTCATATAGAGTCATATAGCCTCCACGCTACAATTAAACGGAAAAAAGTAGAATGCTCACCCATGGCTTCTTTGGGGTTTTTTATTTCAACTGCATCCTCGCTAACGACTTCCGATCGGGGAGACCCTAAAAATATTGATTAGCTCCTCAAAAATGTAGAGCTTTGACGCAAGGCTACAACTACACAGCGAACAAGTATCTGAAGGCTTTACCAAAGATTCCTTTGGGATATTTCTTCTCAATCGCGTCATCACTAACTACTCTCAATCGAGGAGCCCCTAAATAATGATTTCGTTCCGCATTTTTATCTCAAAGCTACCACAAGCCTGTAAACGATTATCTGAGTTCTTACCAATGATTCCTGTGTCAATTCGCCTGTTCGTTGTTGACAATTGAGTTGCATTGAGTCCAATGTTTTCCAAAATCATCCTTTCAACGTTGCCAAACGTTTGGTTAACTAAAAGGCAATTATTGATGCAAAAAAAAGTCGAAAACCTGTGCCGGTTAGTGATTCGTTTGCACTCAAAGCTTTCGATTCGTTCCAGCTGCGGGTTGTCGTTTCATTGAGAAGTGCACCGCCTTCCGTGTTGATGGGAACGAAAATAATGCTTTATTAAAATGGGGATCAAACTACAAACCTGTACTATTCAAAGCGATTAGCTGAATCGAATCCTCTTCTGCTATAACTTCCGAGTCGGGCTCTGCTGCTGGTGGTTTCAGATCCAAAAGCCGTTCTTCTTGATCATCGCTGACTTCCACGAATGGCTTTTGCACAGAAGCCGTCAAATTCAAGTCTAAACGTACTTTGTTAATGAATTTAATCGGTAGTATTTACGTTGTTAAAATTATCACACCATTTCTACGTCTATCAAATTCACTATCTCATTAAGCATCGCCATCGCATAAATAAAATCCTCACCGGATAGTTGATTCTGCAAATCTCGCGGGTTTTTCTCCACCACGTCCACCACATCGTTTTTGATGTCCTGCGTTAGGATCTAAAATTAAATCAGTTAGCGCATCACACTTGTATATTTTAAAAGATTAAACGTACAGAATTGATGAGTTGTGCGTATTGTTGCATGATGTGACCAAAGAGGAACACCGATCTGACGTTTTGTTCTTGTCCGGCGTAGCCAATCTTCAGACCTAAACAACAACTATAAAAAATGCATATGCAAATGATAAACACAAATGATAAACTTATGAATTTAATATTTTATGCCTCAGTTTTCAAGTTTAAAACAACCAGTCGCCCATTGGCATTCTTCGTCTACTTTATCAAAAATGAGCATAAAGAAGCAAATTTAGACAAGCTTTTACAACAAAAAAAGTTCCATTTTAACATTTCAGACGCTACTAGCGGTTTAAAAATTTCACTCACTTGACGTGTCGATATTTTCCCAGCGGGGAATGTGCACGCGAAGAGCCGGAACATTGAGCTCAATAACAGAATGAAACAGCTTCCAAACATGATAAAACTTACATCCTTTCCAACCCCAATCACATCCAAATGAAGGAGAGATGGATCGGCGAGAGGAGATGATTTGGCCAGCTGTTGGAACGTTTGGCGGAGATCACATTCTGCAAAGGAAAAGAGTAATTCTTTAATTTTAAATGTTCAACCTGGATATTTGACAAAGTCTTCCTCATCGACAACGATCAACACGTGAATGGGAATTGGCTCGGTCGAATTCGATCGTGAAGCGTCGAATGATGAATGGGGAATCGATGATATTCGGGCACATGGCGAGATGGAAGCTAAAGAAGAAAGTTTAAAAAGCAGAAAATTTGAGACTCTTCTAAATTTTAAAGCAATGAAAGCAATAAAACAATTTTTGATAAAAAGTGTTCATTTTATTTAAAGAATCAAATACATACGAAGCTTAAATAGCGATCCTACTTTTTTATTCCTTTAAACAAAATCGACTTCGCTACTCACCGTTTCCACTAGTGTCATTCTTGCGTAGAGCTTGTCGCACTTCTCGTGCTTCCATCCAATGTGTCCACATAGCCACTCCATTGCCATTCACGTTTGCTATCTAAAATTTTAAAATGAAAGTCCAACTTCAAAACACTCGCCTTGACTTGCACTTGTGGAGGAAATTCGCAGGCAATCGCTCGGTAGAGGTACTGCACTCGTGATACCTAAAGTTGCTGGATAAAAGAACCAATTTTTAAAAAATATCAATGTACCTTATGTTGTTGAAGCGAGTGATCGGTGATGAGGAAGAGAGCCGCTTCTTTCGGATTGGCAGGCGGGTGAAATCCGTTGCATTCCGGAGTCACTCCATCGCCATCCCACGGTGAATCGCCCTAAAATCAAAAGATTGGTACCCAATCAAAGTATTTGACAAATAAATAACAAAAGCTACAAACAGCGCTTGTTTTCCGAGTGTTTTCCGAATTCACAAAGTGTTTTTAAATTTTGAAGTCGCGAAACAAAATTCAAAACAAATTTATTCCGCCTACTGTTAAACTTGAAGCATTTTTTAAAGTTAACAAACTTTGAATCATAAAAGCTCGACAAAAAGCGTTCAAACACTACGATTTATAAATCATAACACAAAAAATAGTGTGACTTCTAATTCTAATCCTTTCTGTAGTTCAAAAAGTAGCCTAAGAACTCTAAGAAAGTATTAGGTTTCAAAATTTTAACAACGATCAAATAAACCTCAGCAAGCACAGCGGTGGTGAAGAAAAGTGTCGCGAATAAAATGCATCGGTTGAAGAAAGAGAGCATCATTTGTGGGAAATGTGTGAAAAAAAAAACGACACACACACTCTTGCACGCGAAAAATGAGAGAGAATAAGAAAGCGATGAATGAATGATTGCGAGAGTGATCTGGGACGCTTATATTCAAGTATTAAATGGTAATCTCGGGATTTAACGTGCAAATTTACCTCAGCACACAAAGCGCCTACACTTCACAACATAGATTTTGGCAAACTATCGCAATATTTCACTCATTTTGTCCGTCTTACTTAATTATGCTCTCATTTCATGAGAAATCAAACTGTGATCAAATTAAATCAGAGAAACATTTATTACACGTGAAAATCATAAACCGGCAAACTTATTCGAGATCAAAGATAAAATTTACAATGTAAAGAGCAAATAAAAGCTATATTTCAAACTGTAAATTGTTTCCATTCAACTTTGAGTGTGCGAAGATTAAGAAGAGCGACGATTTGTGATCGAGAGAAACGCGGAAGTGAAATGAGAACACAACGACGACCAGCCGACTCGAACACATCAACCTTAAACATTTAAAGATTTAACGCCAAAAGTCAACGCTAACCTCAGCTTTTGGCTGATTTCCAACAACCATCACATGTGGGAACCGTTCGATCACAAAAGGATCCCGATCAATTAACGGAAAACCATCAACCTAAACCAAACCTTGTTGTTAAGTTAAAAAGTGAACAAACATTACCGTATCAGGACAAGTTGGCGCTAGATGTTGCCAGGTGAGCATATGAGTCATCAATTTAGACGCCGAATTGATTGTTGAAAGACGTCGCAAATCGGTGATTGTCTGACCAGAGAGTACACAAAAGTCGAGTTCACCTAGAAATGATTACATTAATCAAACCTAGTACTACTCGAAAAACTCACCAAGGCTGAATTCGTAAGGATTCGTCGTCAAATTAAGCGTCCCACCATTTAAACCAGCCATCGGCAGAACGGTTCTAAAGAATCCCATAACTTGAGAAATTCGAAATTTAAAGCTTACTTATGAATTGGTCGTTGTGGGTGAAGGGCCACTGTAGGATCACCATCTCCAGGCATCAAATCAACTGGCATCTAAAGACAAGTTTTGCTGAATTCAACTACGATATGAGTGATACCCACCAAAGTCGTCAATCGTGCAATGTGTTCGTCTAAAACTTTCGCACAGCCGACATTCGGTGCCTCTTCGTGTCGAATCAAATAGGCAGCCTTGTTTGCAAATTCGACTGCTTGACTTGCTAAATTTGAAACGCTGAATATTTAGAAATTCATTGAATTTTCCGCAATTAAATAGTGTATTTCTTTAACGGTTTGAAAAGCAACTTAGTTCTTGCTTGAGTAAGAACGCAAATCACTCACCAACATTTATGCTTTCTCCAGTAATCACTACTCGGCATACATGAGCAGCTTTGTCAGTCTAAAAACGTAAAGTATTAAAAAGTTTTGCTCATTCTTCTGGATTGTAATAACCCTGTATCAATCTGCCCAATTGCGCATGGGTTAAGGCCTAATGATTAAGTGTGCAGGGTAAGGAGCGTTAAAATATGCGATAGTCGCTCGAGATACGACCGGATAATTTACAATCGCAACTTCAACACCTCAATTCCCATTTGTCCACCGGCCCATTGTGTAAAGAGAGTCAATCCAGACAAGGCATTCGCGTCTTGTTGCGGATTTCCACAAACGTTGATACCTCAAAAAGGTTTACAATAAACAAAGACTTAAACAACCCACCGGAAAGAAAAGCAATCATTGGTTCTGAATCAAAAGTTGGAAGCGGTCTTTGTGGAGCGGGCATCGGCCAGACAACTTGTTTCACTTCAAAAACACCGCCACTAACCTAAATTTTAGTTTAAAAGGTTTTACACTTAAAGCCAAACTTAAATTAAATATTATTACCTGACGCCCAAACAATCCGCAAGTGCACCCAGTCGCCACAGAGTCCATGTTAATATTACCCGTCAACTGAATACTTTCAGTGTTATTAAAAAATGTTAGTTTACTTTAACAATTTGCTTATCGTCTTCAAACTCGAGAAAATCCTTGTTTCCGATGAGAGTTGGCACCTCCGAGTCGATCCCATTTCCGCCATCCTCCTCACTGTCATCCATTTTAAGATCGTCATCCGCCATGGTCTAAACTTTTACAAAATAGCATGTTTTTTTTACTCTAAATTCACCTTCAAAACCGAGGGCCGAGCTCGGATTCGTTTCTCAATTGTTCCAACAACCAGAACCTAAACAAGTATTTAAACCATTGAAACAAAATCCAAGTTACATCAGTAGCAGTCGTCGATTGTGAATCGACCTCTTCAGCAACATTTTCCAGTGATGAAATCTAAAATAAAAACTAGGTATATCTAGTGGAAAAGGTCGTGGTTTTACCTTGATATTCTTTGAAAGCATTCGTTGAGCGTTCTGAAGAATTCTTTCACGAACTGCTTTCACTCGAGCTTCGTACAAGTGGAAGTATTGCCGCTAAAATTAACATAATGAATAAATTACTTTGGCTGGTAAACATCGACTTTTTTCTTGACTTTTTTTTCTTGACTAACATTTCGGGTCAAGCCAGACAGAAGACCACAAAAAGATGAAGAGTGGCTCAAATTTGCTTGGAAAAACCTAGTAGCTAACAATCACGTTAGTGGAACGAAACCAATACCCTAGTTTTAACTAAGCCAAACGTACTTGATGCCATCCGCTTCCCATATCCGCTGCACCAATGAGGAAACGCTCCGATCGGTTCTCGTAGCTCAACGCTGAGCGCTTCACCCGCCGTTCTGACACCATCACTAAAAAGGAAATTAAGAATGAAACGAGTTAGAAACTAATATATCACAATTTTACAACGTCAAATATTTCAGTGTGCTAAAACAACTTAATATTCCCTTCAAAGTTCATAAAAGTGATTTAATTTAAAAATTCCCGCAAACCTTTTATCGTTTTGCTTCAATTCGGCGATTGATTGCGTCCTTTTCTCCTCGACTTGCTCGATGGAGTGCCTTGAAAAAAATGAAACAGTAAAAACTATTATCAAAGAAAAAAAGAGAACTAGCATAGCAAAAGGTGAGAACTTTCAAAAAGAATCGAGGTCGTAAATTACGCGGGTGTTCGGAGGAGTGAAATGTATGGAAGAGAGGTTAACCCTGTTAGCACAAGTCAGGTTGGGGTGTGGGTTGCGGTAAAAGAAATGGAGCGAAAGAAATAATAAAATTAACATCAAAATGCGGGTAGAAAAAACTTACAATTAGCAATTGACCAAAGAAAAACGAATTTTTTTGGGACCTGGTCAAAACAGCGCCATGGCAAAAATAGTCTCTACGCGGTTAAGTTTCTATGTGTTTCTCATTCTTCTTGGATGCAGAATAAAATTATCTACATTTTGCATACTTTGGGTTCACTTAAAACAGAATTGTTGTCGAGAAAAGCTCAGTTAACCTCTTTTTGAGCCCTTTTTGGCATTTTCTCATCTCAAATTTGTTCTAAACGGCTCCAAAAAATTCCGCAGATAGCTAATTTTTTTTTCTGCATCCAATGAAAATAAGAAACACAAATAAACTTAATCGCAAACGCATTATTTTGGCCGGTGCTGTTTGTGGCAGAAATAACAGAAACAAATCAGTTGATTTGTTTCTGTCGAGCGAATATGAAATTATTGAAGATGATAAGCCGACGCACATCATTGTTGAGTTATCACAATTGGAAATTTTGCTGCAAGATTGCCATATTTGCGAGAAAAAAATTCAAGGAGGCCGAAGTAAAGGAAAGTCGAGAACAATCAATTGGGCAAGAAATGGAACTTGTCTCACAGCCGTAACTCGATGTTCATGTCAAAATAACAGGATTCGATGGTGGACACAGAATTTTGTAGAAGGAACGAAACTAGGCCATCCTTGCAACCACAGCAGCCTCTCAATGCGCACCAATTGGGTACCCTAATTTGGCTTCCTTCTTTTATGCTTTGAAAATGGCGTTCTTATCGAAAAGGCATTTTCTTCGCTTGTCAAAAAATTATGTGTGGCCTTCGGTCGATTTCGAGTATTGGGCACAGTAAAAAAGAGATCGTATCGGGAACTGCTAATCCTATTCGTATTGCCATCGATGGGCAATACGATTCCCTTGGGTCCTCGGCAGAGCTATGTGCATTTACGGTTCATGAAGCTGACATAAAACGTGTGATTGATTTGGCTCCCATTTTTTTCCATGTCACAAACAAGACAAAGAGGAGTACGGTAACCATAGGGCACGGAAATGTCTAGAAAATTATCATAATGTCGGAAACGAGTCAAATTTGCATTCATTTTTTTGAGACAGAGCGTAGTGATCCACTTCTAATCAAAACGCACCCTGTCCTCCCATTTTTTTTGCCTACCTGCCTATTCAATCAAGACCATAGCCAGTATGCTATTCGGTTTAGAGTCAGAGTAGTCTAACCCAGCTACAAACTGGTAGGTTACGGTATTAACGGTAACTGGTAGGTATTACGGTAGTCTAATCGTGGTTTTTCCGGGCTGATTGAGCCGGTTTTTCAAAATGACCAGGCCGACCCGTTGACATGCTGGCTGTCCATGACCTGCAACTTCAAAGCGCTCTTATCTCTCGCAATTTTTTTTTCACGAAAGAGCACAAAAATATATGAATCACCAATACGGGCGGAAATACAAATCCCCTCCTTTTCACACAACATTGGCTTGTCATTTTGACAAAATAGAACTGAGAAATTTGAATTCGCTTGTATTTTTGATTGCAGCATTAGGTCAACAATTCTTTTTTCAACATGGACTTTCCTTGTCACGAGTGTGGCCGAGTGGAACAATTGGAGAATCTCCGCGTTTGTCTCTTACACAAACATCGATCGTTTGCAGAGGTAAAGCTGATTTTTATTAATTATAATACTTGAAAAAACAAGTGTTGCAAATTTAAGCGCTACTTTTTTTTGCTTTATTTTTTCTTTTCTAAAAATAGTTGGAAAGTTTGAAGCAAACCTAAACAAATTTCAGTTAAAATCGCTTGTTGTCTGTAATCGATGCGCTTCATCGACTCATCGAAATTGTTACGATCATCAGACAGCAATTCAAGCATTGGTATGGAAAAATTGAAAAGTTTCACTATTGCAAAGTTGGATAGAACTTCTTACCGTTTAAAATTTAATGTTTCAACTTATTCTTTTTAAAGGAAAGAGTTAAAACACTAACTTCTTTATGTAAATGAAGCAGGTAAGCAAAAATCTCAATAAAAATTCCAGAAAGAAGCTAAATACGAGGAATTGGGCGAAACGATTCAGACAATTTTGAGGAATCTTTCCATCGATGTACAACAATTTCAATTGTTGATCAATGAGAAAATACAGGTCGAATTTCAAAGAAATTCAATTCAGCTATCATCTTGAAATTCAACAAATAAGTAATAATATTTCCAAATTTCTATAAGCCATTTCAATCTAGCTACAAGATTTCAGAAATTGACCCAAAAACGCGACGAATTGCACGAAGTTGGCGTGGGAAGAGCAAAGAATCTGTTCCGAGAAATTGCGGCTGAAGAAAATATGACAGCAATCACTACTCAATTGGAAAATATCTTCAATCAAGTGCATAATTTGATCGATGGACAAGCGGGCAAAAAGAAGAGTGCTTCGAAGGTTGGTGAGAGAAAAAGTAAAAGCAATGCTAAGAATTAAATTGAGTTTAAAAGTTGTAGAAAATCTTGGAACTTAAAAAGTTTCAAGATTTTCTACAAAAAGCCCCAGAAACGAGTCTTTGTCAGACTTTGTGTTTCAAAATTCATAGGTGCTAAATTTGAAGGATTAGTTTAAAATGTTTAATGATATTTTAAAAGGAACGTTTACATCTTATTCACAATGTTATTGTTATAAATATGTTATAAATATACTATAAATTTGTGATACATAGCATAGGAGAGACTTGAGGCTATGAGAGACACCAGAAAAACTGTTTACAAAAAGAAACAAGAAGAAAAAGAGCGAGCGGAGTCGAACCCTCGAGCATCTTACCCCGTATCCTAATCCGCTATCCACTACACCAAGCAGCCAGTTCAGAGTGGTGCGTGTGTAAACCTTATAAAGGCTTTATAAGGTTTACAAGTGCTTTATAAAGATATAACCTTATAAAGATTAAATTGCTTTAATTGTTTCAGCTTCCCATCGAAACCCCAATTCTCAGCAATGCCCCACGTGCGGTCGAACGGAACCTAAGCCAAATGTCAATTTCAAATCGATCTGGTAAGTGATAGAACCATCTTTTAGCAATTCTTTGCAGTTATCAAGTGCAGTAAACAAACGATCGATTGAAATTGTCTAAAACCGTTTTGTGTCGATAACTTTGAAACCGGGAAACTTTTCAGAATCTCGTTCCTCTATCGATCAACCTCCACCACCATATTCGCCCCCAGATCTGTATGTTACTTGGTTAACCTACAAGTTTATTTTAAATTTTCAGCGGCTTCGGTGGCATAGCCAATCGTCCACCACCAAGAGAACCAGTCTCGATTTTGTCAAACCGACAACCAGATGACGAGCCAAGAGCTTCTAGATCTTCTCAACGACGTGGAAATGGTAAATTTTTGAATTTTAATCAACATCTACATCTTTCTGAAAATTTCACAAAACTTCTAAATCCGTAATATAATTTTCAGATGGTGGCCGATCAGTTCCCCGTAGCGCTTCACGGACTCGCTTCAGAATTCAAGGCAAAGATCACACATTCAGGGATCTTTCACCGAATGGATCGGGTGAGATTTTATAGGGATTTCTAGGTAAAAACTACTTGGTGTGCTAGATATTTGCAATTTTTTGTTAATATTTAACGGATTGTTGCTGACAATGTCTAGAATTACATGATACAGAAGAAATTACATAAGCCAACCATCGAAAATTTATATTGCTTGCTAAAATGATAAAAATTATTTTGAAACTCAAACATTTCTCTTCAATTCAGACGATGAAAGTGACTCTGCTTCAGTGGCTTCTGGCGGAATCGAGCAGCGAATCAATTACAATTATCAATCCGAGGGCTATAAACCGACAAAGAAATGCAATATTCACTCAAAGCATATCTGGGAAGTTACAGGTATGCTTTGAAAGCTCATCAATTACAATTATCAAAAAACCTTCTGAAACTGTTTCCAAAATCAACAGCTTAAGCTGGCATAGATTGAAATTTGATATTTATAGCTAATATCTTAAAAGATGCTTTGAAAGCCCACCTTTCAAAGTACTCGACTTGTTTAGTTAAATCAATTTTCTAATCTTGATCATCGTCCACTCGATCCAATTCAAAAATTTGCAAAATTTGCAGATCTCTCCGAGCAACTTCTCGACAATCGATATCTTTCTTTCAAATTGCAAAACAGAACAAATGAGAGAATGCTGGTGAAATTCACGAGATGGGAGCCGCATGCGAAAAATTGTGGTGGATGGGTTCGCTTCGATTTCCCATCAAAAGGGATAAGAGAAGATCGTAGATATTACAAGGTGGGTTTCAAAAAATGTAATTTATAAAACTCTAACTACAAAAAACAATGAAATTTTAAATTAAGTGAAAAACCTTCTAAAATTGTTTCCAGAATCAACAGCTTAAGCTGGCATAGATTGAAACTTGATATTTATAGCTAATATCTTAAAATAATTTAGTTTTCTATGATTAACATGCCTGTAAATGCTTTTGAATTTTGGCTTTTGTAGTGACTTTTGGCTTTTGACTTTCGAAAATTTCGGGAAAAAGTGAAAAAGGAAAAAGCTTCGGAACTTCGGAAGTCGAAAACTCTGGAAAAAGTTTTTTCCTGTTTCGAGAGCAGCACTTCATTTTGAAACTCACTTTTTCCCATCGATTCAATTCATCTTATTTAACTCTTCAATACTGTATTTTTCTTTTTATTGTTCCTAAAATGCAAAGTAAAGCTTAAAGCTAAATAAGCAACCAAAGTTGAATACAAATTTAGAATTCCTTCGAATTGGGCCGTGGGGAAACCTGCCAAATCGTGATCGATTTCTCGAAAGTTCGAACGAAATTAGATGAATGGGCTGAGGTGAGAGAAAGAACTATAAAATTATAAAACTATAAAACTATAAAACTATAAGAACTCTAAGATTTTAAACTATAAAAGCTTGATTAATAAATATTTTTTTGAAAATAACCTAAATGTTTCCAGACTCAAGATCCATCACTTTTCCCGTTTGTGATGATGAAAGGATTGACGCAATTGGATTCACAAGGGAAATTTCGGATAGCTTTTGTGACAATTCGATGTATGCACACGGCAGATGGGTGAGCAAGTTTATTCGAAATTTTATAATTGAGTCAAAAACAGTGCAAAGTTTACAAGTTGACAAGATTTGATCATTGCATTTGATCATTGCATTTGATCCTTGCATTTGATCCTTGCATTTGATCATTGCATTTGATCATTGCATTTGATCATTGCATTTGATCATTGCTCAACTCTAGCCCATTAGCGAAATACGGGGGGTAGTCAAAACAGCGCCATAATAGAAAACGTTCAAAACAGCGCCGTCAAATTTCTTACAATTCAAAAAACCAAAGCCGGTTCAATTTTTATATCAAAAAATTCCTTGCGTTCTTGGCTACATGATGGGTGAAACAGTTTTTAAAAAAAGTTAATATTTCATAGATAAAAAGAGCACTCAAAATGGGTCTCTAAAGATATTCAGTTAACCAACTGAGTATCACTGAGTATCACAACTGAGTAACCAATTAAATCTTAATTTTTTTATCGATTTATCTATCTATTTAATCTATTTATCGAGTTTCTTTATTAAAATTCGAATTTCCAGTTGGATTCCCTATCAAGCCTTTGAGGCACCGAGAGATCATATCTGTTTCGAGAAGGAATTTCGACAAGAACACGATTGTTAATCGATGTCGATGTCGCAACAAGAAAAAAAAAATATGTAAATACTTAATTTTAAACTATTTTTATTAAACAATGCTAAATTGCTTTCCATCTTTTCCATCTTTTCCATCGTTCCCTCTTTACCTTTCATTTCTTTGTGCAATTCCACGATCAGTTTCCTTTTTATCGCAGAATTCTGTCATTCACCTCAAATTCGGCCTCGAATTTGTCATTTTAGCTAAATTACTGAAACATTTTTAGTAGATTATCATATAAAATTGTCAACTTACCGTATTTACTCAAATAGAAGATCGATCTTCTATTTTTTTCAATCACCCCGTCTTCTATGGCTTTCCAGCGGCACTGCAGGCTTTCCGTTTTTTAGCACCTCCCATCACCTAAACAAAGTACTTTTCCGTTATATGCCACCAGTTTTTAGATAAAAAAATGATCAGATAATCAGATAATTAAAAATAATCAAATAAAAAAATAGGAGGAATGGGAAATGGGAAATATGGAGGCGGCGGAGGTATAACGGAAAAATACCAAAAAAATTATTGATACAAGATATAAAAAAATAGTGCTATTGAATGAAGTTATAATATTTTTACCCTATTGGGTAAATTCCCTTATTCTTTTCCCGTATTTGAGTACGTCCACTTTCGCGCAGAATAGAAAACAGGGTACCTCGAATATAAGACCGGTCTTATGTTTGAGACGATCTTCTATTTTTCTTCTATTTTTCTTCTATTAGGTGCTAGAGAACGGAAACCCTACAGTGCCGCCTTTAAACTTTAACTCGATAAATCCCCCTAAACCCCATCTTCTATTCGAGGTCGGTCTTATAATCGAGGCCAGTCTTCTATTCGAGTAAATACGGTATACACACCAGCTTTACTTATTGACCAGTTTCAAAAATCAAGTCACAAACTTTTGAATGTTCAATCAATTTCCGAGAATTTAATGGCTATTTTTTTCTATTAGGGTGGTGCAAAAGAAACTGCCGATGGGTATCAGCTCCCATTTATCAGAAACGAGCGATGCTAACGGCATTATTTTTTAAATGTTTTGTTCGCTATTTATTTCGACATTTGAATTTTTTGGTTCTTGTTTATTTTATTTAAAAATGCTTATATTTTTTATTTAGATCATGGTCGAGCAAAAGTTTGTGCTACGAGCAGCATTACTGTTTAACTTCAAAATTGGAAAGTCTGCTGCCGAATCGCATCGTTTTCTCTGTGCTGCTTTCGGCGATGGCAGGCAGTGTCAGACTTGGTCTCAGGCAGTGTCAGACTTGGTTTCAACGATTCCGAGAGGGAGACGAGACTTTGGAAGATTACGAGCACGGTTCGAGGCCAGAAGTCGTGAACGAAGCCAAGCTGAGGGACGTTATTCAGGCCGATCCATGCCAATCTGCTCGAGATCTTGCGAAAATATTCCATTGTGATCATGTCACCATCGAACGCCATCTTTTTTTTAAAATTTACCGTCAAATCGGCAGTTTCTTTTGCACCACCCTAATACATAAAACCCATCAAAATGTGATCGAGTTACAAGCATTTTCTTGAAAGATAATTTTGAAACATTTCACCCAAATTGTTGTACCTTTTTTTAGTAAAATGAGTTTAGCAAGTTACAAGTTTGTCAAAATTCAACCGATTTCTGAATGATTCAGTCGTCATCTATTTTTGTGCACAAAACTCACTCAAAGAGTGTTCTATTTTTGATCGACTTTTAATCTTTTTTCGATGTTTTTCATTTCATTCAAAAGGATTTCCATTTTTGATTTGAAAGAGACATTTTGTATTTTGTTTTCTTTTTACTTTATTTGTCAAAACATCGGTGACAGAGAAATTGATGAACACCACAAATAAAGTGATATCAAAGAATGATTTTGAATGGTTTTGATCTTGCTTATCGTAAATACTGTAATAGTACCCCACCCCGATAATGACGGTGCGGAGTGTTGCGTAGTCTAGCTTTGAACGAGTTTTTCTCGACACTGGTTTATGCTACAATGCACGCTTAGGTATCAAAAAATAGCTGAAATTCAGGGCTATTTTATGAAAGTACGGGCGCTTTGAAAAAAATAAAATACTAAAAAACTTTTGCGACTACGCGACTGTACGAGGGGGGTACTAGTACAGTATTTACGGTATGTTGTTAAGTTTTTCGATAGTTTATAAAGTGTTTTGAAAGGGGTTTGTCTACAGCTGATTGTTATTCTTTTAAAAAAAAGCATTTATCATGATAGTCACCTAGACTTTTGCAAGCAAAGCATTTCGGTCGTCTTTCAAGTGATTTCAACTTTACAAAACTAGATTTACACCAAAAAACGGACAAACTTTCAGCATAAAAGTTTTCTTTTCAAAATCGATTACTCATAGGCAACTTTTTCACTATCTAGGGTTTAATAAATTTGATTTATCGACTATTAATCTCGGCTCAATTAGAAAATATCTTCAATCAAGTGCATAATTTGGATCGATGGACAAGCGGGCAAAAAAGAAGAGTGTTTTTGATTTAATTTGATTTGATTTGTTTTGATTTGATTTACCTACTATCTAGGCTTTAATAAATTTGATTTATCTACTATTTTTCACAATTTTTTCGAAAGATTCAACAAAAGAAAGATGAATTTAAGTAATGAAACGTTTTGAAAACCAAAAATAAAACATTTTAGATGGTTTTAGAAGTTGATTAACTCGAAACAAACTATATTTAGCACAAAAACTCTTTCAAATTACGAAAAACAAGAGAAATGTTTACAAAACAAAGGCCAACTGTTCAAAAGTGACGCAAAAATTGTTTGGGTGAGTGGAGAAGTTTTCAAAAATCCCAATAACAACGAAATCACCGGGTTCCCTATGCAAAAATTTTAAACCCGATTCGTTTTGGGCAAAGGAATTATGCAAATTTCGGGAGTACTTTGGAAAATTTTCGAATTTCGACAAAAATATTACGTGAAAAGGTCAGCGGATATGCAAATTTGGGGCAGAGACAATATAAAAGTGAAGCTGTTGTTTTGAGGAAAGCAGTGTTTCAAAAAGCTTCATAAATATTTCAAAGATTCTCCTCAGTTGCACATCTATTTTTTCAATTTTTAACTCAACTTGACTTTGCTTTTTGAGGTCTTTTTCATAAAAATAGATCGTATTTTATTGCTGGTTTGAAAGTTTTTGTTTCAAATTTCATGAGGATTGAGGTTAGAAACGGTTTCGAATCATATGACCGAAATAGTTTGAGGCTTGTGAATCTGAAAATCTGAAAACTGTAAAGCATCTAACTATAGGCTTAAAATGCAGATGACTTTCTTTCGATCCTCCAGCCATTATCCCTTGGCTTGATGCTCTGATACTAGCAAACTTGATCTAAAATCGAAACTAAATCACCCAAATTCAAAATACTCATCAAACGTTATTTCACTATTATTTGAAATTTTGAATTTAAATTTGAATTTAAACTACCAAATTTGAAACTATTTCAAGTAAATCTTGATTTTGATCAAATTTCTTGAACTTTACTCCAACAATGAACCAACACAGATCCGATTTTGAAGTTTTTAAATAAAGATATCGCGATTATGGACCCAATTTTGAGTATTTGATTACAAAACTTGAAACCTTGGATTTGAAATTCAATGATTTTGAGCTTTATTTGCAAAATTCAAAATATTTAGGCTAAACTTTCGTTTCTTCGTCACTTTTCATGAGATTGTTTCATAGGGTAGACACTTTAGTCCTTAGTTACTAACAATTACTTCCGTTTACTTGATTTAACTAACGCCATCCTAACAGATCTTCTACAAATCTCAATAGCGCATGTTACGAGCCATAATTTTCAAAAGTGGAACACACAAAAAATTTAACGTTTAACTGTTTTGCAAAGTTAGGCAATGATTCGTAAAATTCAGCATCGAAAAGTGGGTTTCGTTCGTCCAATTGCAAGAGTTTCAATTTTGCGGTTTGAACAGATCAATCGAGTTTCTCAATCGCTGAAACAATTGGTTCTAATGAGTAAAAAGAAATGGTTGGCGGGTATGCTTGGAAATTTACAGTATTTCTTTACCTTGATCAGATCTTGTAAACAAACTCAAAATCTTCTAATGAACTTTTCTATTTCTTGATTGACCCGTTAAAGCCGAGAAAATTGAAATATCATAGCTCTAGATTCGAATATTATAGCTCTAGATTCGAATATCATAGCTCTAGATTCGAATACAAGTTCTTGTCTTTTTTTACAACGCTTATCCTTTTGTTGGTTGGTGTTCGGTCGGGTTGTCACCAAAAAGAACACCGAAACGACGGGGTGATCGATCAAAAAACCCACATTGAGTTCATTTGTGAAAGGGAAAAAGAGGGTTAAGTGAGTTGATCGGTTTTTGTTTTTGGCCAATGTTGTAGGTAAAAGATTAATGAGTAAAAGAGACTTCAAAGGGATCATTAAGGTAACAAAAATTGTTTGGATGAAGCCAAGAAAAGAAAGAGTGATACTATAAAATTACTTCTACGTTTACTATCAAAAAAATCTGAAAGTCTTCATTCATTTTGTAGTTTCAAAGCAATTTTGCGTGTTAAATGCGCTTTTAATCTAGCATTTAATCTAGCATTTAAACAAATTTCCTTTCATTTATCGGGCTGTTGCATTATTGTTGATAACGGTTTATTTTTTTGATTGGGTTAAAGATTCGATCCCGGCGGCTAGAAAGATTGGTTCTTTTTCCCATTACGATGGGTTTTATTATGGGTTTTATTATGGGTTTTAATATGGGGCTACCGTAGACTACCGTAGACTACCGTAGACTACCTTATACGCCAACCCGCATCGTCTTTTCCTTCATCCATTCTCCAGCTCCATCTTTTCTTTTTCCACGGTCTCAATCTTTTCCCTCAACTCGTTCTCGATCGAATCTTTCTCCTCGATTTTCCGTAGACTACCGTATACGGCTCACCAGTAGACTACCGTATACGGCTCACCAGTAGGCTACTGTATACGGCTCACCAGTAGACTACCGTATACG